CTCAAGACAACTCCCAAACTAAAGGCAGCACAGCATCTCAGATATACCTCAAAAATAAGTGACTTTTTTTTTTTTTTTTTGAGAGGAGAAGATAATATTCATAGGGAAAAAAAAGATGAGAAGAAAGAGAGAAGATGGCTGAATGTCCGGCATTGATTTAGAAACAGGCTTTGCCAAGCAGGGTGAAAAGGAGCCTTCCCCGATCCATTCAGTGTGTGGTTATTAGTATTGATAACAGGGCTTTGGCTCCAAAGAGAAAGAGTGGTGAATGAGTTAGGAAACAAATACCTTTCTATAAATAAAGTTTTTCCAATTCAGGTGTTTTTTAGGAAGTGGGGAAAAAAATCTGCTTCTCAAATGTCAAGTACTTGAAAGACTAAAAATAGATCACCGGAATAAATAAATTAACCCAGAAGACAGGACTGATGCTCTGCAGGCATCAGGGATTAAATAAATTCACTAAATTCAAAGTGGTATTCCAGATAAGAGCTCTTTGTGCTGCAGCATGTACAGCTTATTGATTATAGGATTGAGGTGCTGTGCACTCTTGTAAAATGTACTCTGGCTGATATGACTTAATCCTGCAGTAACGTACAGCCCGGTGCACAAAGCATGGCGCTAGGTTGTATTTCTTACTTATTTTAATTTTGTTTGTGTCTTAATTTGCCGCACCGCATCTGTGCCCCCTCCCACCAGCGTTTCCCCGGGGCAGTGTTTGCCCAGGATAAGTGACAAGAGGCACTTCAGAAGGTGCTGACTCAGCAGGATGAGGGCTGGGCTGCCCAATGGAATCCTGCAGGACAGGGGCCACGGGAATCTTCCTTGGTTATATTCCATAGGGATGTGAAGCCTGAGCCCTTCACTTTTCCGTTGCGTTGCATGGGCTGGCTGCAAGGACGAGCGGCCCTCGAGCGCCGGTGATGCCTGGTTGAGGTAGGGAGCCTTGGGGAGCAGCTCAGACGGAGTTCTGCAGACTTTCACGTTTTGTTACATGAGCCCACCAAGGCAGTAGAAGTGTGTCTAATCAAGGTGAAAACACTACCTGTCCGGATAAGATGGATTTTTCTGGACAAAAAGAAAAGGTAGAAAGTTTTGCAGGTCCTGCTGGGTCAAAGCAAGCAGTCCCAGAGGGGCTGTTATACACCTAGCTGGAATGAATTTGGGTTAAGTTCCAATTAACCTGTTTTCCATAGTAGAGGCTGCTTTCATCCTCCTGGTCGGATGTTGAACTGCCAAGGTCACTTCACACTAATACAGAAGGACATTTCTTTCCTCCTTTGGAAGCTCTCCTGCCTCCGGTGCTCAGCCCAGCTCTCTTCCGCAGGTTGCTCTGAAGAGCCAGCAGACCTCTCTGAATGTGGACTTTTACCGTATATTTACCAAGAAAGAAAAAAGCCTCCAGGCCTCCGGTGGTGTGAGAAAGCAGCTGGGCACAACAGTGATGCTCTCACGGCGTGCTGGTCTCCTGGTCGATCTCTCCTTGGGGTTGCTGCTCATCCCCCAGCACCTTCCCAGCCTCGGGGTGTCCTAGTTTTCTGAATCACCGGTTAAAAAGTTGGCCTGACCAAGGGGAAAAACTTTTATTATTAATTTTTGTCTCCTTGGCAGGAGGGAACAGCTGAACGAAGGAGCTGCAGGGGCTTGGCTTTTGGGTAACCTCTCCAAATCCTCATATCTCCCACAGGTTTGGCAAATCTCCCAATATCTTACTTTACCAAAATCAAGCCTCTTAATCTCAAGATATATAGCCTCTACTATGTAACACTGCCTCCCGAACATGATCCACGGGGCCTGTATTTTAACACCCAAGATTCATTAATATTTCCTGCAGAGTGTTCAGTAAGTGGCAAATAAAGCAGGAAGTGTCCCAGATGTTGGAAAGAAAAAATGGAATTATTCATTGCTTACTAACGTCAAATGCTAATGTGAGAAAAGCATCCTTGAAGAAATCCTTGACTAAAATTCATCAGTGATGTGAAATCACTGTTTTAATTATGCATTTTTGAATGTATTTATTAGTCCCGGTTCTGATCTGACTTACAGATGTTTAACAGTGATAAGGGTCTACTGCAGTCTTTGGAATTACTCATGATTTATAATGACAAAACTTGGATCAGAATTAGGTCCTTGTCACTGCTCTATAATATCCTTTCATCAAACTTCTTCACATTCAACAGATGAAAGAGGCGGTGGTTTCCACAATTTCAAACCCTACCACTGAGTCCATTAGCTTGTTTTTTTTGAAATTTTTCCTCCAGAAACGAGGATTCTCACAGAAAATTTTGTATGCTTGAGTTGCATTTCCCACAAGAAACTTGAAAGCTAAGGAATTAGACTCTTTAGTCCACCAAAATGATGTGTTTGGTTAACACTTGTACCGGCTACAAATGTGGCATTTTAATGGAGGAGGTAATTAATTTAGTTATGCTAGTCTATAATCTCATTCTCTGTACTCTTTTTGTTGTAACTGTTAGAGTATGCTCAATACCAGGGTGGTTTTTTTTAAAAAAACCCTCAATTCAAGAATGATTCGGTCATGTGTTTTTCAAACAATGATGGAGTTTTAAACTATTGCTTGTTCTAGAGCTGATCCAGAATGAGCAAGTCTCCAGGGATGGTTTACTCCCTAAGGCATGAATGCATGATTAAGCTAAATGTATTCCATAAATGCCTTGATGACATTAAAGTAATTTTTTTAAAGAACAGATGGAGAAAGTTAATAAATATTTCATTCTATAATATAAAACTCACTTCCATATTCACAAATTCAGGGATCCTCAGCTTCACAGATATCAATAAGTCTGATGGATTTCTTGCTGCATTCTCATTCTTCTGCCCCGGTGTCTCTTATGGGATCATCATTTCTGCATGCTTGGATTGTTTTATGGGATCAGTGAAAGGCAAGTGACTGTAAATCTTGACCTCTTCTGCTCCTGGATTATATACTTTTATTCTTTGTGACCATAAGTGTTCATCTCTACACTGAATAGATAATTAAATGACAAAAATTATTCAAAGGGAATTTATAGTGAGAAATTATCACTTGAAGAACTGATGGGGCACAGGCATAACCCAAGGAGATATCGTGAAAAAAAACAGTTTAGAAGGGCCAAATAAAATGGCCATTTTGAAATATCTGTGTATTTGTAAATGTCATGAAACATCTATTCACTGGGAAAAAACATGATTTTTACCTGTATATACCAATTCTATTCAAACAAAATTTCTATTAAGGGAAAACTGTGAATTTTGCTTAAGAAGTGTAGACCAAGCCTGTTATTCATAGGAAAGAACTAATCTTTACATGTGGGAATTACAATTTCTCACTCTACGTATGCCATGAATCTTGTAAAAGAATAATTAGAACTTGCTCCAAAAGGAAAGAAATGCCAGACTTGAATAATATTTTAGGAAGAGCATTAACAAACATTTTTATACTGCCAACAATCTTCACTGCTTTCTAGAAGAGATTTACATTACATTATTAATTAACTATACTGAGTCAATAGTATGACATAAAGCTTGGGAGATATATGTTTAGCACAAACTATGATATTCATGAGAAAAGCGTGCATTTTTAGGAAGTTTGATTTAAAAGTTATGCAAATGACTTCAGCAAGCAAGGGCCCAACAAACTACTTCAAAGCATCAAGATCCAGCCCAAAAAACATGACAAGATCAAATCTTTGTCATTTCTCAAGTGTCTTTACAAACCTCAGCATATACAGTATAAATTACTTCACCTCCTGTACCTCGATAGTTTAGTATAATATTAGCATGCTTTTTTTTCAGTGGGACCGCTGTAGTCTGTCAAACAATGTACACCGGAGCAATTTCAAGAATTTAAAAGTATCTAAACGGTATATAATTTGTCTTTTTGGAGCTGGCTCTTGTGTTACGTCTGTAGAATACAACAAGGTCCCCTGGTCTACCATAACAAACAAAATAAAAAATAATAGTGCTATTGTTCCTGCTCCCCTTCCCCCAACTCAGACCATCTTTCAGTTTTTGGGTTGAGAATCCCCACAACACTGCGTCCAGGGAAAATATTAAATGCAGAGTAATGTCGTGCTGTAAAGAAATACTAATTAATTCATGTTATGATTCATGCCACAGAAATTAGTTTATTCACTTATTGAAAGTTAGGTTAGGTCCAGGTACATTTGTATCTTCAGAATCAGGGCTTTTAATGAAGAAAAAAAAAAAAAAAGTTTCTCATGTTTCCCGACATCCCATTAAAATCGTTGTCCTTTGACATCAATTAGAGCCAGCTAAAAAAAAAAAATCATCCTTAATTGCTTTTCAGAAATAGACATTATAGCGTACACCGTTGCAGCCAGATTCCATTACCTTTTACAAGAAACAAGGATGCTGGGAACGCCATAAAACTCCGGCTCTGCTGACTGTGGATGCGGGGCTCTGCTGACAGCCGGGGAGCTGCATTTCACAGCGAAGGCTCTTCCTTGGGCTGCAGGGAAAACTGACGCAAAACCCACAGACAGGCCTAAATTTCACCAAAGTGCCAAAGTGCTGAAGCTGGACGTTCAGCTGGGGCTGGTTTTGGACTGACAGTGGCCGGATGCTCAGTGCTCCATCCCTGCCCCCATGTAAGAGCGAGTGTAATCATGCACCTATGCTGACAATTATAGCTACAAAAACGATCTAGTCTTCAAAACTTGCGTATGTTTCATTACAAGGACCATCACCAACTTTCTCAAAGGCCTTCTCCAAATTTGTCTTACTCCAGGGACTTCATAATGTCTCTGCCGACCAGGTAGAAGAGGAGTCCGGAAAGCAAAACCAGGGGCACCCCCGCTGCGGCGAACATGAACGACCACCCGTAATACACGTGCACGGGTACATCGTCCATGCACTTCTCACTTCTCTCCAGAAGGATGTACTTCCGAAAATCAGCGGCAAACTCCTTCCACATCACAAAGAGAAATATGAGCAGGAGAAATAAGCCTCCTGGAAAGAGAGACAAAGGTGATTTATTCTCCGCTTACAACCAGCATATGAAACACAGAAATAAAACTGAGAAAAGATCGCAACACATTTCCATTTATTCTTGCAGGTTCTTTGCATCAAAGCTTAGCGTTGCAGAATTATTATTCATGGCATTGCTCTGCAGGTTCCTGTGAAAGCCCAACCCACTCGCCATGGGAGAGACCCACACCGCCGCGACCAGCTCCCGCCCAGCCGCAGGCACACTGACGCCTCGTGCTTTAGCCGCTGGTGCTAGAGGGCTCCATTACAGCTGGATACGGCCATGGAGAAACCATCATGACATGGCTGATGTTCGCAGCAGGGATCTGCATGAGGCTATCTCTGCATTCCAGCCCTAAAGGTGGGTTGTTTTGCCTTTTTTATTTTTAATTTGTCTGAGATGAGTGAGAAGGTGAGACTGAGACTTACTTTTTCCTTTTTTTTATCTACCCTTCCAAGTAGTGTCAGATCCAATTTCCACCAGAAATGCAAAGATACGGGGATCAGTCCTGCTGATGGCAAGCATTATCTGGCATCGAACCTGCTACACCCAGCACCGGCGCAAGCAGAGCCCACGCAGGCACCGAGCGGCTGCTTGCCGCTCGTGGCAGCTCCCCTTCACATCTTGTGTTACCCTTCCTTAAGCTGAGCTTTGCAACCAAGTATTAAAACACGGCAAGGAGTATAGATGATCCTATTTTGCAGAGAAATAACACATAGTAGAGTGGAAAAGGCATGTAGCCGTGAGATATTAATCTCAGATGGGCTACTAAATAACAGAATAATAAAAAGAATAATAAACAGCTCATACCATGAGGCTAGAAAGTCTTTTTATTGGCAAGTGAGACCTCCGTTGCCCTCCCCTGGAGCCAGACGGGAGGAGGGCTGAGGCCACACTCAAGCCTGAGCAGTGAGTGCAAGGTCAGCATCTCACGTAGAGAGGGTCCGCTCTCCTTGGAGCCTCCCAAGCCTCGCAGGATGCCTGTGACCCAAATAGCAGATCTCCCGTGAGACCTCGCGATCTCGTATTTCCAGATGCATACCCATCGAAGGTCAGCGTTTGCAGGAAGAGCTCGGTCACATCTGAAAAGCATGTGGCAAACAGGCACCTCCCAGACCTGGCGCAGCCTCCGGCGGCTCTGGGGGCTTCGGTGCCTTAATAGGAACCTCCTTTCCCCATAATTCAAAGTGATGGTAGTCAGAGGCTGCAGGTCTAGCTCCCCCGTATGAAGCAGATGACAAAAACTATAGTGGCCCTAATATTATTTACTGTGCTGCATTAAAGAATATATATAGTGCATTTTAAAGTCCACATATATTAAAGCTAAATAGTGACGGTGTGATGACAGATCTGAAAGCACTTCAGTAATATCTGATCTTGCTACTTCACAGCTAGAAGCTTGCTATTTTTAAATGGTGCGGTATAACATCTAGATGTACGCACATAGACACACATATATGAAAGAAATACATCACAGATTATAATATTTTTATAGTAGAACTGAACAGTTCGAAATTAATTTAGTTGACAAGTTACCACGCAGTTCTGTGGATGTGTTGTGGCTTCTGCTGGATTTAATTTTTCCCCTTGCAATTTTTAAATCAAAGGTAGCTTGTACGATATTTAATTATTCTTCCTGGCAGCTTATACACTACAAAATCCAACTCCCATGCTAAGCAAAAGAAGTGGGTAAAGCTTGACATTGATGTATCTGCTTAGCGATGGTGGTTACTGAAACCTCGGTCAGAGAAAAGACGTCAGTGTTCAACTGTGTTTCTGCTTCTAATGGATATAAGCACATCTGCTGCTACAAACCTCCACTTCACATCTTGTAGCCAAAAATGAGACTTCTCTGAAGGTACAGAGGGTTCAAAGTCCTCACTACGTGTTATATAGAAGTTGAAGCTACCCATCCTAAGCTGTAATGTCTATTAAATTGCCTCCTATACCTTAAGACTGCAAATCAAATCTTAATAATCAAAACCTGGTGTAACCATACGAATAGACTTTACATCACCACACGCTGTTATTTCAAGCCGTTCTCCCTTACATGGAAAAGTCCTTATGTTTGCTGGAGAGGCAGGCTAGGAGTTAAACAGCAGCTGTTGTAACATTTGCATGTTCATTGAGATTTTGATACCACTTGAAATTAAGTGCACAAATAAATATTTTACACTTAATATGATAGTTGTATGCTTAAAATACCAATTATTCTACTATAAGAAAACGATTGCATGTTTAAATAGTCACATGTCCTTTACAAAATACAATATATTGATAAGAAGGCAATTAAGTCTTTATTACTGATGTAATTTAAAATTAAATTAATTAGACAGCAACTGAACCTTGAAAAGTGCTCTTTTAAAGATCAATTTCTATTTCATTAACTTATAATACCTACCGTAAGAGACACAAATAAAAACGTAGCCCTGGTGGAACAGAGGACGCGGGTGCGGTAGCGTACTTTTGAATTATCCTACTTTTCTTTAAATGACCAGGGGTTTTGTGTTGAATCGTCCCAGGAAAATTTAGATGGTCTAAGCCTCATTTATTGAAGAAATCAGATTAAAACCTACCAGTTCTTACTGAGGAGGGTGTGGGGAAACCCTGTGAGCGGGTGGCACCGTCCCCGAACTCGCCAGGAGCTAAGGGTGAGGAAACAGTCCCTCCCCTCGCCCCAGGAGAAGCGCCAGGTCTCGGTATGGAAGGATTTATTATTAAACAGGTACTGGAGGTGATGGCACGGCCACGGCATCTAAATTAAGAACATTTTCACACGCTGGGAAAATGACAAGAAAATGTAAATTAAGCAGCTTTCTTCCCTGGAATAATTACAGCTGAGTGGCAAGGAGTCCTTGGGATTTACACCGTCTCCTTGGCGAGAAAAGAAAATCAAAAGGGCAGGTGCAGCCGAAGAAGGACGGTGGAAGCGCAGAAAGGGCAGCTCACTGAAAACTGTTCAGGAAAAAAATGCTTACTTGGAACAATCACAAGTATTCATGAGACTGCCTAAAATTTGTCACGCTTTTAGACATTAGTAGACTCATCATAATGAGAGTATCAGGATTTTTCACTCCCATATTACCAAAGTAAGCGTTTGGCATTTTTCTTTTAAAATGCTATTTTATTTTGGATTTTTCATCTTTTGAACAGGTCTCACTTTACCATCTCCTTTTTGGGGCTTCTAGTCTCAGCCGCAGCGGAAAGACCTCTTCGTTTCCTGCCAGCCCCAAATGGCTTTTTATGTACAGAGACAGATTTCTTCCTGCCTTGGGCAGCAAAATGAAAAACTGAAAAAAATCTAGTTTTCTTCCCAAGAAACGAGCCCTGCATCAGCACACGTGCCTGAGACGCAGGACACGGGTTGGGTTTGGGTAAGTGTAAGTGAAGACCTCATCAAACCAGACCATCCCCATGCTCCTCTCAGCATTCCTGTGGTTTCTACCACTGGAAAATTAGCCAAGTGATCTCTTTCTTTCTCTCCCCTTCACTCTTTGCCTCTGTTCATTAGGATGGTATGGAAAAAAATTAACAGTGAAACTCCGTCTCGTAGCTGATGAGGTCAACGGCATCTTCTGGGGAGGGGCTAATTGCAAGAAAATTGAAGGGGGGTATTAAATCTTTCTCCTTCGTACACTGCTAACTGCAGGACAACGAACCCCAGCGCTCCATCTCCCTTTCCCAGGAGAGCTGCACCTTCATTGTGAGTAAATTGGAGTCGGGCTTTTTCTTTCTCTCCCTTTATATCCTTGTGACACCTTTATAGCTGCTAATTGTAGGGACAGGTGAGTGAACTCAATCTTTAACTCTTATTCTGTGGAAGCTACTGAACTTTCGTGTAATCTGCTAATTACAAGAAAAATGAACTTTGACTCATTCGCCTTTCTCACTAGTTGCCTCTTGAGGATGTTAATAACAAGGAAATGGAGGGGTGATCTTCAGCTGCCTTTCCATAACTGTGAGTCTTTACTGCATGTGGGGAGCCTGAGATTGCCAAAATGGAGATGCTTGATTTGGGAAGAGGAATCTGAGCACAAAATTCGGCATTTTTAGTCATGGGACTGGCAAAGCAGCCTTTTTTTTTTAATGCAGCCGGCTCACACTGAACAAGAGGTTGCTCTGAGCACACGCCGTGCTCCTCTCGCATCACCATGACACGGCTCTGAAAGCACAGGAGAGGCTTTGTGCTGCCTTTGCCCACTGGAAACGGCCCATGGCCGCGGAGATCCTGCAGCTGCGGGACTGTGCGAGCACGCCCATGCGTGCCACACAAGTGGGGATGCTGGAGCAGCTGGAAGAAGTGTAGACTGTGCACAGTTCATCATGTATTTGTGCTTTCCAGCGTAAAGCAAGCTGATAACAAGCTCCTCTTTAGGTTGCTTAACATTACCTGAGACACGCATCCTTATTGCTTGCTTTGAAAACTCACCGTACAGTCACGCTTTGCCCGTGCGTTCCCTCCAGAGCACTCTCCCCACCCCTGAGCAAGCCACCAGGTAGAGCTCAGGTCATTTTTGCACTTAAGCCTACAGCTGTTCAGCTGGTCCGGACGTATTAGGGCAGCACTGCAAGCTCAGTAATTGCCCTAGGTCTGGATGAAGCATGTGCTCACTTCCAAGCTTGGTCTCTAAAACGCCCGAAGGAAATGAAAACCGAGGAGCACAAGTACAGGGAACCAAGGAGCACAAAGAAAGTTGTCTCAGCAATTCAAACAGTTTCCAGAAGCTGCAGTGCAGCGTTCACCCAGCCCTCTCGGTGACATTGTAGTGATAATTAATCATATTGTCATCTGACTATTGAAACAAGGGGACAATTAGTCACCAGTCAGTAGCTGCCTCCCCCTTGCAAGCACTGAAGCTAAGTCTGAGATGGCAAATGTTAGAAGGAAAGCAGCACGCTGGCTATTTGCTCATGCAATTCAGGCGCTTTTGGGAACAGGCTGGCAAGGATAACTGCTCAGCTGGCGAGGTAGATGTGCAAATGCAAGAAGCAGCAAATGTCAGATGGGGTCCAGCTGTATTTCCCGAGTCGCCCAGCAGAAGAAATGGAGGGGGATGGCTCCGGTCCTTTGAAAGGGCTCTCAGAAGCGCCACCCACCGAGCACTACATTTGTTATGGTAGCTGGCAGACAGTCAGATTTGTCCTCTTGAAAGTACAGTAAATAAAAGGCATCTCGGAGAGGAAACCCAAAGGGATCTAATTGAGCGATAACAATCTTCACCCTTAGGCACTGAATTCCCCCAGCGATGGAGGGGCACACGTAACTCCTCGAGATCATGTCAGGCTGGTTAACCACAAATGTGCTTGGGAGCGTATTTTACCAATAATATCTTTGGAGCCTTTTGGTGGCAAATGTTGCACTGTTTTGCAATGATTAACCACGGCTCTGGTTTCGTGACCTCAGCGTGGGCTGCTACCGAAAGGGGCAGAGGGAGGTTATGGACAATAAAGTTGTATATAAAGGATGCCCCGAGAGGCCGGGTCATCTTGCAGCCATGGTGCCCCATCTCACCATCCAACTGCCAGAACACGTTCCCTCTCTACAAATTGCCAGCGCTTTCACACTCCCTCAAGGAGACATCATTTCTGCGAGGGAGGTTAATTAACACTGACCCACAGGCCATGATTAGAAGACAAGATGCACTTTCTCCTGCGTCGTCTCTCCACATCCCGCTATCTAAAGGAAAGGGACAGCTAAGGAGTTGAAGCTGTGTTAAATCTATTGTTCCTACTGCTTAGCGCAATGATGCAAAATATTTTTAGAAGGGAGAGCAAGAAAATAATCATGGAAGGATGCATCCCAAATCCATCAGGAAGCCAGTGTCAAGCAGGATCCAGAGGTCTGAGTTCGGGATACCCCCTTCCCCCAGAAAAAGAGAATCAGCTGAAACTCTAAGCAAACTTTGCTGAAAATGCTGAAATACTATTGCATTCTCCTAGCTATAATTTAGATTGAAAATATAGCAGGAAGCCTCTTCCAGCTGAACTCGTTCCTCCTAATGACAGTTAATAACAATGATTGCTGTTCAGATTGAAACTGCATTAATACAAACTTCAATTTAAAACAGCGGCATCTTTGTCTAATGCCAAGAGGTTTATGTGGTGCATAAGCAGCTCTTCTAAAAAGTGTCACATTCTATGCCCCAGCCTTTTAATCAAGAAGTAGTCAAATAAAGTGCAAAAACAATGAAAAAAAAAAAAAGGAATACGGTGATTCAATATTACTCGACGTCCTTTTCTGTGTGATATTTTCTTATCTGGCCAGTGTCAGAAGGTGACCGATCTCAGTTTTTCCATTTGGGCTGAAAGTTGAGTGTTTTGAAGAGGTAGAGCTTTAGCTGAGGTAGCCAGGGTGTCACATCTGAGAGGATTCAAATATTCGGCCCTAGTCTCGCAAGGAGAGATGACTTCAACGCACACACGTGTCAAGTGGCCAACACTACGCAGTAGAAGGCATTGGTACCTGACGGAGATCTGATAGCAAGACGTCTTGCATTCCCAAATGAAATCCGTGTGTGTAAAACCACATGAAATCTGCCTTTAGAAAAATTAAGCCCAACCAAGCATTTATTAAACTATATAAGAAAGAGATAAGCAAATACCATACTTAACAACAACTCACTGCTGCCCTCACTTCAATAACTGAAGACCTAGAGGCAAGTGGAAAACTGGACAAAATGCAAAGCGAATTAGCAGAGGCAGGTAGGGCCACATTGATTTAGTGCTTTCCAGATTTTTTAGACAAATAAATAGATGCCATCTAGCTTCATTTTAACAAGCAGCTCAGCTGGCATCACATGGTTAATTGTTAGTACATCTGGAGGAGATACAAATTAGGAAAGGAGCTATAAAACGGATAAGGAGCTAAATAATGGGGGGAAAGGGTAAAAGGTAATGATGGGAGGGCATGGTGAGACTGGAAGGAGTTTGGGTGGAGTTCCTCCAGGGTCAGTGTTGGGACCTCTCTTGGTAAATCTTTTCATTGATGTTTTTGGTCAAAAAAAACTTGAGCACTCTCAAAGCCCAAACTGGGAGCAAAGACACTGGCTCGTGCTTGATTAATGCCGCGTATGAGGAAGCAGGACCTGGTGCAGGATACATAATTAAACGCTGTTTTTTCAGAGAAAGGTCTGACTTCATTATGAAGTTTTTCACTTGGCATGGCTCAGCTGAGCTCCAGCCTTTAGCTGCTTGAGTCGCAAAAAAGCTTTTTTCTGAGTTTGAGTCACTGTTATAAATCAAGTATTTCTACTAGTTAAGCCAGTTACTCCTTCTCAAATACAAAAAAGGAAAAAGCCCAAGTGATAATTCAGTGGAATCATTTGTAATGGCAGTGGGAATAATGAGTAAATGCCTATTTCTAATTCATTTTCCTGCTGTGCCACCGCTTTATCTTTTCAGGTTTTATTAAGCCAGCCCTCCCATTTTGAATCGCCAGGTATGCCTTTCATTTCTCAGTGGGTTTCCAGCTCTATCAGATGCTAACAGCAGAGATAGGAGAGGCCCAAATGCAAAGACTGACTTAGGGGAACAGAGCGTGGCTGATGGCTGCCCAGGGTTGACGCTGCTACGGACTTTACTGAAATAAAAGGCTCTGCTCCTTTGCGTTGCATAGAAGAGTAGGAAAAAAAAAACAAAACCTATTTTTCCCAAACCCCAGCCTCCCTGGGGGTAGGACTAAGGACTATCTTGTTAAAGCTGGACTGGGCATAGAGGTTTATTTCCAGTGGGGGAAGAAGGAAATCATTTACTCCAAAGCAAGGCCAGCTCCCATCAGAGCCCCCAGCTGCCTCCAGCAGCGCCTCATCCTCAGCTGCCTCCCCTTCCCCTGCACGCACGAAGCGGAGCACGGCCGCTGCGTTCCCGCCCCGGCCGTATCCCGTTACCGCAGCTTGGCAGCTTACCCGAAGCAAGGAGGAATCCACCTCCGACTTTGTAGGACCGGGGGCTGACGAAGGGCACGCCGCACACCAGCAGCAGCCCTCCCACCAGCCCGGCGGCGACGGCCAGCATGATGAACGCCGTCCAGAAGCCTCTGTACACTGCACAGTCAAAAAGAGTAAAGTCAGGGGAAAGGAGAGGAAAAATGGGTTTTGGAAGTCCATACTTAACAACAGCTGCTTCAGCAACAGCAAAAGCAGTAACCTGTAATGCTGCTTGTGTTAGGCAGAGCTGGAGCTCCCGCTCTGCTGACTCCCTGCTGCGGCATGGGTGCAATGCGCCTGGAACCTGTGCAAGTTCAGGTTGAATGTCATGCCCTACATAATGGGATTGGAATGAGTACAAGGGGTTGGAAGGGTTTGCCAGGGAAGCACACCACAAAAAGGGGTGAGAGTAAAGGACACGGTGCTTTGCTGTGCCTGTGGGGGATGGAAGAGCTTGGCAAGAAAGGAAAGAAAATAGCAAAATTTGGAGAGACGGAATCAGACCACATCTTTGTTCCGTTTTAATTAACACTTATGGAAGGTGCCAGGTTCCTGGTTTAAAATAAAGGCGGTTTTTGTTAGCAGGACCGCAGGGAAAATGGGAGCTCATGATTTCCCCCATGAATGGCCTTGCTTGACTCCAAGTAAGAGAACAGGGCAAGAGAACAGCTGCCTCTTCATCCACTGAACTTGGGGGTTTTGCTGTGACTTCATGCAACCACGCCAGCCAGAGCCGAGCAAGCTTGCGTCCACCACATCCCACGGGATGTGACGTAGCCCACTGATTTCAGTCCCCCAGTAGCCAAGTCTCTTCCAGTCACTGTCGTAAACCTTGGCCAAAGGTGATGGTCTTCAGGCAGAGACCCTCTGATACCCTGCTCCCCATTCCCCTGATTTATCTGATGCCCTCGGACCACTGCATCTCGCTCTGCCTGTTGTTTTTCAGAAGCACTAGTTAGAGAGATTTAAGCCGAGCACGAGCAAGTGGGTAATGCTGAAATGATTCACACTTGAAAGAAAAATGATACAGAGAAGATGCATTTTACTCATTTGAAACCATTTTGTCAGGAGAGCCACTTAGGGAGAGATAAGTATCTTGAACTCTCCAAAACCACAGAATTCATTTTCATGTTTAACCTCCCGTCACCCATTTCTCTCAGGGAGCCTAAGAGGATGCAGATAAGGCAGAATTATCTCTGGAGCAGGTAATAGCTGGAGGACCCCTCTTCTTGGACGGCCTCCTGTTTTGTCATCATTTGCATATGAGGATGGAATAGTTTGAAATAAAATGAGTGTTAACGACAGAAGCGTCTGCTCTCTGCAGATGTCCGAATGCTTTGCAGCGGGGTTGGTGCAGCAGAGGAGCCCAATGCTCCTGCTGCCCTAAATGTGGGTGCTGAGACATCCTCGTCTTCCCGGGGATCATAGCGGGGTGGGTGCCAGGAGCCTCCAAGGCAGAGCCCCGCAGCACCCTGGGGTGCAGCCCCCGTGCAGAGCCTCTTCCCGGAACCTTCCCGGGACCCGTCCCAACGGGCATTTCTGGGAGGCAGCTGAAGAGGGTTTCATAGCAAGGGCTGACAGGCAGGGACAGATGCCTCCAGGGCCCTTTATTTAGTACGGAAAAAATAGTGTGTTTATCAGCGAGATCATTCAGAAACTAGACGTCATGCCTGCCTCTCCTAAGCTGAAAAAATCCCACCGCTTAACCCGCATGTTTGCTGCACACAGCCTGCGATGGGCTCCTCCTTCTACCATCGACAGGTCCCTCGTATCCATTTTACACTGCGGCATGTTCCCCGAGGCAGGAATCCTGCACAGCACAGCAAAAGAAACTAGCTGCTCTCCTTCACATGCTCCTACTGACAAATTTATTTTTTTTTATTAATTCCTCATTAAAAAAAATATAGAAATAAAAAAGGTACTGCTAAAGGCTAAGGAAAAGGTCAAGATGTTTGTTTGTGCAGTATGCCTGCCCCGGATCCCCGGAGGCAATGCAGAGTGATGCACACTATTTAAAGAAATCAATTCATTTCAAAAAAGATCATTGAATTAATTCTAGCTGCTGCCACCAATTTAGCAAATTAAAATTCCTAACAGCAGCTGACTCATTAAAGAACTCTGAAAATACAGAGAAACATAAATAAAAAGGGAACCAGTTGAAAGGAGAGCTCTCCAACTGTGTCATATTCAGTGTATTAAAAATAAGCCAATCACTTACGCAGATCTTCTAACAATTTGGTCTTTAACTGATTTTCCAGTGCTTGTTTATTTTGTCTTGCAACAAATCAACACTAGAGCTCTCCCAGGCAGCCAGACTCTGGAAACGAGTCAGCGCTGGACTGCCACGAGCCTGCCGCCCAGGATAAATTATTTGTGTCGCTTCCCACTGGGTCTGGATTTGGCCATGGGTCAGAAGCCCTTTGCCTCCAGCTCCTCCCAACGAGTGAGGAGGTGGGAGAAGGAGGAGGATGGATTTAGCATCCTCCCTTGCTCATGGGAATAGGCACCAAGCACCCAGCAGGAGGGTGCACGGCTTATGGCCAGGCACGGCTGTCTCTGGAGGAGAGAAGACGTGGGAGGACATCTCGATGTGCTCACGGCTCGGGGCAGTCAACTAAGCAAGGCCATTTTGTAAAGGAGCGTTCCAAATGTCTTGGTCATGCTTGGCCACATGCATTTGCAATGGGAGAACCACAGCACTGACACACATCATAAATCTCTGCCCGGTCGCTTGGGAAAGGAGCTGCTGGGAGAGCAGGAAAGAAACCCACCTGCGGTCGTGTCGTAGGAAGGATGGGGGAAAGGTCCGAGAGCAATGGGCATGGGAAAGAGGTAGCCATGCATGCAGAACTTGGGGTGTGCTTGGCTGGCTGAAAAAGAACAACAACAAGAAAAAAAACGGTTTGCTTTTATTTTCTGCAGGATCACAGTTACAGAATTCAGAGGGCAATGTCCTAGTCTGCAAAACCTACAAAACCCTCACTGAAGACAGAAGGCTGGGGAGTAAAGAAGGACAGTAAATCCTGGTAGGAAAAAAGGAAAAAAGGAAAAAAGGAAAAAAGGAAAAAAGGAAAAAAGGAAAAAAGGAAAAAAGGAAAAAAGGAAAAAAGGAAAAAAGGAAAAAAGACTGATGAGAGAGGGGAGACATAGCAGGATCTGAGACTGCTACCCACACATCTTCTCATCTTCATAACCTGAGTCTGAGGTGGACACAAATCATAAAAGATGGGCCAGCTGAAATTAGTGTAAATATTCCCATTACTGTTTTCCTCCAGAAAATGTGTCAGACCGCCTGGAAGGTGCAAAGGTATCTGGGTAGCAGAACAAGCTACCTTACAAGACCTCCAGTTTGTGAGAAGGGAAAACACAATTAGAATGGAAGTGCCCCATCAATATTAATACCACTGAGGCTTATCGTGATTAATGGTAATAGAATGAATGTTAAATGAATTAATTAATGGTTGGCCACTTATTTAAATATGTTCCCCAGCTCAAAGGAACACTTTATAATAGGTGGACATTAGTTCATGCTAAATTGACTATGGAATACCTATTGAATTAATTATTACATCCATGAGAGCAGCAAATTAATTTGCCATGATCAATCCTATTATAATAAATACCTAAAGAAGTAACACAAATTTGCCAGTTATCAGAAAGAGTCATTTTACTTCAGGTAACATTATATTATATCATGTATTTCCATATAATGTAATTAGATAGCAAACTCCCTCTCTCAAGCCTGTCCTTTTTTATAAAAAAATTTCTGTGTGAGAAATCTCACGTTGTTCAGCTGAACAGCGGCGGTAACTGTTCCTGCAAGATTTTACGGGAAACACAAGCCAGCGACCGGGGGACAGCAAAGTCGTCTGAAAGTTTAATCTCTGCACAGTAGATTTATCGCGGGAACCTGCATTACTTGCAGCCAAATGCCCTACGAGGCGATCACGCTGCTCCACAGGCACATAAACATCTTTGAGCAGACCGAAGCACCAGCGAGCGCAGGGTCAAGGCTTTTGCAGCGTTTAATACCTTCGCAGAACTTATTTAAAATCTCTCTCTTTTGTTATCCTCAATACTTCTCTAGGGTTGGGGCCTCCCGGGGAAAGGCTGTCCTCTAATTACCCACTGTGCACTACTAATGCAGGCGAGCTGGCTGCTGGCTCGGCTGCCGGCGGCGCTGGTGCCAGGCGCGTTGTGGGGTGGTCTCACTCCTTTGCTCTTTCTGGTGGGAGCACCTGGTTCACTGGGCCAAGACCCCACGCTTCACTGCACGTGGGCCACCAGTCAGCACCAACTGGTGTCTCAGAACAGGTTTCACCTTCTCCTTCAATTTTTTTTTTGAAGAGTGAACGCGCTTGCAGAAAACAAAGTATTTTGCATCCCTCTCTGTTTATTCACACGTGTAATTTCAATGACCTTAAAAAGCAAAACAGGCAAGATCTTAAAATAAAGGTCTTGTGTGCTTAAAAGCATAAACACATGTGGTTACAGCTCTCCATGGCCCACCACTGCCCACTGCTAGAGGACCTGAGCACGCAGGGAGATCACGCACGTGTGTGTCCAGCCTTCCCCATGCTGAAATCAGTGGGAGGTGGGAACACTCCGATGGCTGAAAATGCTAACAGAAGAGCAATGCCAAGGGAAAGGCATGGGCTCAAATTTAGCAGGCCTTAGCTGAACACAAACATCAAGAGAGATGGGGGGAGAGTTGGTCTTGCTGGTGGAAACCACCACTCCATAAGACTTTGTAGGTGATATATTAAATAGCATCAAGAGGTTCCTACATTTCTGTGAACAACCCTCTGAGAGCAAAATCCAAGTCAAAAAAGGAGCACAGAAAGGGTGAGCCAAGTTTGCTTTTGATAGAAATACGATGAGAATGAAAAAAAAATGAAATAAAAAAGAGAGACAACTGTCTCTTCATCCCTGGGAGCCCTTGTTGTGCTTGTTTGCAAGTCAAACTGTGAGCGAGTGCTGTGAATGCGGTGCGGTGGCATCATACTCACTGTACCAGAAGGTCCAGATGGTCTCCAGGTGGCCCTCGCCAAAGAACCAGCACCGCCAGAAGAAGCCCTCGTGATGGAAAGTGAGGATCTCCTTCCTGACCTCTGTCGGCGTTTCAGCCTGCGGAGGAATGAAAGCCCAAGCTGATACGGGGATGATCATGGTGGAAAGCTGGAAAGTGTATTTTTTGCTTAGGCAGTTGTTGCTTTCATTTTTTGTTGGCATTTTCATTTGTTGTTGTTTGAGTTGGTTTTGGAGGGTTTGAGGAGCACAGAGGCAGCTGCTGTCCTTGCCTTTCTGTCAAATCAGAGCTACAAAACGTTCTGATAACAAATCATCCTGCAGACCTTCACAAAACAGTTTCTTCTTTCTCTAATATCTTTAAACCACTGATTGCCAGAGCTCGACGGGTATGCCAGGCAGCAGAGCACACTGGGTGTATTCTACTCCTTAAACACTTTCCTCAAGTAAATTTTACTGCTGTTGTACCCAGTTGGAAGCAGGATGATTACCAGTAAGCAATTTTAGGGGTGACCCAATGCAACAGTTCAGATATCCTTGCTACTCTGCAGGATCCATGTAAGGTCTGGCTTAACCCCAGAAGACAGCCCAACTCTAACACTCCCATTGAGCCCCTCCCAAGCACCAGCCCAAAGGTTCTCTTCTTTCCCTCCCTCTGCTGAGCCCAGTAGAAGTTATACTAAACCTTTGTGAGACAGAAATCACTGTTTGCTCACAGCAGTCTTCTCATAGACCAGGATAGGGATGTTGACAATTTTTCCTTTTTTGGTGAGTCTACTTCAACCCCCAGACCAGACCTGCGAGCACAAGGTTTAGGTCTTTCCAGAAGGAAGGGTATTGCAAAGTTGAGTCACGGTCTATTTACCAAAAAACTTATGAAAATTATAGCCAAAATCAATTTTGCCTTTCTCACATCAATTAGGTAAAGGAGACATGACTGTTCTAAAATTACATTTTGTGGAGGATGGATAAACTCCATACAGGATTGGACCCTGTGAACTAGGGAAAGGAGACAGGACAAAACGAGGAGGTTCTAGAAGATACTTCCCTCGCCTTGAGGCTTTTATGCATCAAGTCATGACCGCTTCCAGAGCTCTGACCTGACTCTCCTTTTACTTTCAGGATAACATACTAACTATGACAATGGTAACATGCAGCCCTCAAACTTCATCAGCTGGATGGCTGCTGACTTAGTGCATCTCCGGCACATTTAATCGCTGTTTGGCAGATACTCGAGACCATCCTTATCTGTAAGGGACAGGATTTGCCAGTTTAAGAAAGGGCAGAGAAGGTAAAAACACAGCCTGTTGTACACAACTAGTAACTGAAGTAGAAATAATAGAAGCAGTGTCTGAAATAGAAATAAAATAGCTCAGAAGAAAGAGTAAGAGCAGTTCCTATTTCTGCCTGGCGCTTTTGAAGTCGTTCTGCCTTAGTGACAGGCACAATAACACTTGGCCAAGAGCATATCTGAAATGTTTGAGATGCTTATTCATGTCATGCAGTGCAACGTCTCTAGTCTCTCCACTTTAAAAGACAACAGCACAAACAAAAATCTGAAACAATTAACATCGTCATTTCCCAAGTGCACAAAAACTGAGCGGCACTCCTCCGTCCGTGACTCTCTGCCATTTCCAGGGCTTTACTGTGCTGCTTTAAACAGTAAAGACAGTGTCTTCTGCCAGGCAGTTTTTCTATCGTAATTTTTTTTTTTTCCACAGAGAAAGTCATTTGGAAACATGACTCAAGCGAACAGTGTCCTACATTTGATTATGGGATTCTGAAATGAAAGAAAATATTTCTTGCTGGCATCATGATGCTTACCAAGTGTGACTCACCACACCAGAAAAAAATCAAACCTAATTGGATTGAACTTTGAAGTAACAAAAAGTCTGCACACAACAAGGATCTTCCTGTCATTTTGTAATTGAAACCACACATCGATCGGCGCAAAAACATTTTTGAAGAGTGGGTTGCTCAGGGAACTGATCTGGTTGTTATTTCATGGAAGAGTTAGACAATAGCAAGTGCAGCTAAAGTCAAACTTTCGAAAGGATCTATAAACAAGTGATACCAGCAGTTAGCACTAAAATACCAAATTGTCCTTTGAAAATTACATTTCCCGCTAACTAAAATCCTATGTAAGTCTTAATTTTAAAATATATAGGCCTCTTCTTGCTAGATGTGCAAGAATTCTTGTCTACTCTGCTCTGCATCTGATGTTCGCTTTTGTTTTCTGTCTGTGCCGTAGTCATATCGCTTCAGATGTAAATGATTGCCAAGTTCTACACCTTAAAATATGAACTATTTTTAAATGAAGAAACTCCAGAGGAAGAAATCTTTTAATGACAAATATCAGGACATATCTTCTGTCTTTAGAGGCAAATGCTGTCAACAAGTAAAGCTCTTATATTTTTGCCTTTCATTCCCTAATGTTCATATCTGCCAGATTACAGAGGTGCTGTCTTAATGTTTCCTAGACGCACTTTACTTCAGTCAAAATGCTAGATACTATGGAAATACTGGTTTGAATTTTAAAGTTAGCTCAGGCTGATATTTTACATTAGCAGGTCACTTTCAATGAGCATAAATATTATCACAGATTCAAAACTTTAAAAATTTAAAATTTAAAATTATTTAAATAAGTCAATTCTTCCGAAGTAAGACAAGATTTCAGAGTTTACCTCCCCGGTCTGCAGAGTGCTATTCCTACGCTCGAAGACGCCACAGGTCTCCGTAGCTAGAAGCCAGTAATCTGTCCCGAAAGCGATGAGAAAGAGCAACACGCCGGTGCCGCCGAGGATCCCGGCTGCGAGGGCGGCTACTCCAGCCTTCATGGGGCAGCAGGTAGGCAGCAGAATTGGAAATCAGAAAAGAAGAAAACCACTGAAGTTTCCAGGGTCGCTGGAAGAGGGGGATGAGAGAAGTGTTATTTTTGGACACGGATAATAATCTTCTCCTGGCTGGTGTGAGTTTCAGTGGGTGGTGGGAACAGGACTAATAAAAGCAGATGACCTGGCGTAACCAAACAGCTGTGGCATTAAGGAACATGACAAATAGCTATTGAGACAGAGCAGGAAGATTTCCAAATAAACACATGGCTGTTCATTTCAGAAGAGTGGTGCAGAGAGCCCTTAGCCTCGGCCGGTCAGGCAGCATCTCTAGGTCACGAGTGGTTACGATGCAGAACTGCCCAGGACACTGGAGAGTTTTTAAAACCCCGTTTGCGCATGAGATTAGCAGAGAGGCTGTGCATGGCTTGAGCAGATCTGAACTCGAAGATCTTTACCACGTCATGGAGTCCGCAGTTTCTGCAGCCGTTGCTGTGAGATACCTTTAGCCGTGCCCTCGCAAGCGCAGCGCAGAAGCGGCACTTGTGGAACGTGCGTCTCCTTCAGCTCCTGCTTCCTCTGAACAAAACGCTAAGGCAGCTTTCACACAGAGTAACCCCAGAGATCCAAGGAATAACGCTAAACCATCGGTGAGATCTTAAATATCTTGGTGCTCTCAGAAGTGATGCAATCAACCCGTGCAAACACGTTCAAATCGGGCAGGTCCACATCTAGCTAGACAAGGAGCATTAAAGTGGGGTGTACATAACAGTATACCTAGAGTGTCTTGCTATGCAGTTGTAGAAAGATGTTCTCTCTCCTGCCACAGAAGAGCGGGCTATATAGCATCCATACCCCTCCCACCGCCTGAGCCTGCTGTGGAAGAAGTGTCTCATGGGGACGAGGACATTCCTGCATGGAATTTCGTTGCCATTTGTTTCCTAATGTTTTTCTCTTCTGCTGGAGCATCTGCTGTAGATCACTGCCAGGAACGGGATGCCAGACTAGGAAAATTATAATTTCTGTAGGGCAATAACTATAATCCTGTGACATGCCAGGAGGCTGGGGGAGCAAATTTAAATTACAGTGAAAATTCAAGTTCTGATTTTCTAACCTTAGCCTAGGTCATGACCTGTTCTAAAAAGGGGAATAGATGAAGATGTTGACTTCCTTATCCTATGGGATTTTGTGTTGCCAAATTAATTTCCAGATCAATTTAATAGTTAAAGTTAACTGTGAACATATAGGTATCTCAGAGAAACTGCACACTGGTTAGGGAAACTGGAGAGGGTTGGGTAAAATTTTGACTACACTTCTAGCCAACTGTTGAGGCATATGGACTGATGAATATGCTCACTCTTCTTCTATGAGCACAATAGACTTTGAAATATAATAATTTATTCTATCCTCTGCATTGTTCTTTCTTAAATATTGCAGGCTGGGATAACTTTTAAATAATAAATTAGACCTCTCATCCTCACTGTCACAGGGGCAGAGCTGCTGTTTGTTTAACCTGACCGCCAGCGCGTGAGGCATCCGATAGGATCCAGGAAAGAGGTCCCTGCCCTGAGGAGTCCCCGCACAGACAGGTGGAGAAAGGAGAGGTGGGCCAGGTTGCAGACTTACTGTCATGCAAGGTGAAAACTCAGCCACAGTCCGCACAGCCCCATTAGTTAGAGCTAGAGCGTGGCTGCAAGGGGCAAGAGTGCAAAGAAGGCAGAAGATGTTGTTGCATCCGGCATGGGGGAGCAGGCGGTGGGTGAGCAAGGCAACGGGGAGCTGCAGGACAGGGCCAGCGGGTCGTCTCAGAGGTTGGGTTTACATCTTGGTTGGTCGCTAAAATGGAATAATGCCCTCTGATGTTTGTATAACAGGATGAAAGTCCTCACAGCAGGGCTGACCGCTGCTCTCGGCAGGTAGAAGCATCATGGCGTGGCCTTCAGACAGGGAGCAGTGGATGTGCATCTGATGGGCGAGCCGCATTACAAAGGCCATTTTCAGGGAAGTGAAAATATACATCATGTCTCTGGCCTGCTTAACCATCCCTTTTCTTCCCAGCAAACTATTTAGTCAGCTAAGGGAGAGGAGAAATCATACAGCCTCCCACCGAAACCCTTGGCAGCAAGCAGCTCCGCTCCTCCCGCACTCTCTCGGCAGTGCTGCTTGGGAAATGAGCCCTCCTCAGCCCTGTAATTCTGCATGAATAAACACACAGTCCCTCCCCGGCCACTTACTCACCATCCCGCGTGGGGATTGCTTCCAGCAATCCCCACTACTGCGATGCGTTTGCACCTAGGTGCTTCTGGCCAACCCTCCCATCACCTTTGCTCATCCCATTCCTACACGTATTAACCCTCGCCCAGGCCATCCCCCGGCAGCCCAGCATATCGACTCTTCTTCCATAGTTTTGAACTGCAATAACATATCCATCTCACAACGATTGCTGCAATGAGATGACCTCTTCGTATTGAATGGTTGATTAAATACAAAGTCTATCAGCTAATTAATCTTCAATAAATGTAATTTCAATCAGTTGCCATTTAACTAACATGTAATACTGGTTAAACCTGTCTGAAGTGACAAGAAAAATCAGTTGTCGTCTATTCTTGTGATCCATATCTCAAAGCTGAACACAACTGACGGGGGAGCTTTGGCAATGCTTGAAGGATCTCAGTGAAGACAAGGGTTTGCACACCAGAAGTGAAGACTTTTTTTGCAGATTGCATTGCAATTGCATAAAATTAAAATGCAAAGCGGGCACTTCTGTATTTTTAAAAAAGGGATTAATGCACACTTCCACATTTATGTGTGTGCTTTTTAGTCAGCTGTATTTGGCATTGCTGTATTTATGCTAATGCGTATTCGCAAGTTAGTGCTGTTTGCCATTTGGAAGGTGTCCTCAGCAATTCTCGGTCCCACTGGCAGAAAAACCCCTGCGTGGCTGCGGCAGAGCAGTGCCGGTGCCCAGCCTTGGCTCCTCACAGGCTGTTGTGTGCCCAGCCAAACATTTTCCAAATCCTTAGGCTGTGGAATAGGAATTGAGCTTGCAAGGTCAAAACATCTCTCCATGCAACGAGCTTTCCCTTCTCCTTGGCAAACCCCCAAGCACGTGCTCATCACCATTAGGATCTGAAAAATTCCTGGACATGATGGACAATGAGACCGTGCCTGGGGCACCGGCAGCTGCAGGGACGGGGACGGTGCAGCTGCTCCAGCAGCGTGTGGTGGGAGCACCCAGGCTTGCCGGGGACGGTGAACGCACGTGATGGAGCTACAGCCCCCTTATGCTCCCTTCCGTTCAGCTTGATTATTTTTTTTAATTAGGCATCAACCCCATTGCGTCCAGCCAGCCCAGAAGGTGCCGGCTCCTCACACCAGCAGGCTGTGGGGGCTACCAAAGGAGCAAACTCCTTCAGTCCCGCTCAGCCCTCTGTACCTTCCTTGCTTCTCTATTTCCCCATTGCTCAGGGGAAAAAAAATAGATAAAATTAAAATTCTTATCATAGGAATGTTTTTTCATAAGACTTTTTAGTCTTACAAACTAGACTAATAGAAAAAATAGTTCCTTTACTCTTCAGACAAAAACATCTTTGTTAAATATAAGATTCTGACCCATTCTGGTTCGTGCAAGCATTTTGTTCATACAGATTTTATACAATGCAATAGTCAGCTTTGTTAATAGACAGGACACACATATACTAGAAGAAAAGAAAGGGAAAAAAGAAAGAAGAAATGGCAAGAAAGCCACCAACAAATCATTCCAGCCCCCTTCTCTTCCTCTGCAGTTAGAAATGGCTGGAGATTTTCTGATGAACTAATCAGAAAATGTGGGGTTTAAAAACCGAATCATTTTCGAGGAAGGGCTGGGGTGAGTGAGTACCTCTGGAAAAATTTTAAGAAAGGGGTGTCTTCATTTTGAATGTTTCATTTCAACATTTTCAAGGAAAAAGTTCCATTCTGGAGGGCAAAACACCTTGTGATATCTATCAAAGAGCAAAAGCAATTATCAAATATCTAAATTGATGTAAAATTTTTAATAAAATATTTTTTAAAATTATGATCAACTCATCCATATTTTTTCATCTTATCTTTTCCTGGGCTGCGTTATGATGATGCCTTTGCATCTGAACTCTGTGTGGAATTGTTGGCCCTGTGGAAAATGTGTAGAGTGTCGGGGGTCAGACTGCAGACCTGGGGCCACACTATTAACATCCAACACCCTGCTCTTGCTGTTGGGAGGCCATCAGGAAAGCACAGTGGGGCCGTAAGGATGGCCCGGTATCTGCCCAGCCTGAGCTCCACAACCCTTTGTGTGTTTGAAACAAGTTGTAGGATAGGGGGGAGAAAACAGGAATACAAGTGCTTTTACTATACAAAAATACTATAGAATAAATCCTGAAATCGATAGTAGATTTTCAATTTCCCTAACATAACAGGATTTCACTGTCCCCCTCTCAGCCCCACCAAGGGCTCAAGGAGCCCTGATTTTACTCTTCCAGCAGAGATGATCTTTAGTTTAGAGAAGGAAAGAAACGATTTCCCAGCCAGGAACAGCAAGCCCTCATACCGACACTCTGCCCACTGGCCCCAGGTCCTGTAGATGCTTTGCCCGGCCCATCCCACCCCTCAGCACGAGGTCCGAGAGGCACCTCCAGAAGGTGATGCAGCTCTTGGTTGGCCTGAATGACCATTAGGGTCGCGCTTGCTTCCTCCTACAAAGCAAGTCTCTGCCTGTCAAACAGGCTACCTTATACACGGGCGCTGGGCAGACCAAGAGCTCCTCTGCCTGCCTCCCCAGCCTGAAGGCAGGTATTTATGTGGGGAGCCATGGAGGGGAGGAGAGCAATCATCCCAAACTAGTCTACAGCCTCCTCTCATCACTAGCTGGTGCCTGAGTGAATACAACACCCCTGGAGCACTACAGCTACAGGCTTAGGACGCCCATCCTAAAAAAACCACCACCACCACAACAACAACAAAAAAGTTATGCCCTGCCACACTTTCTAAGCCTATAGAAACTGGTGATGGTGTTGGTTGTCCTTTGCAGCTTGCGTTGCGATGTCTGGAATGCTACACCAAAGCTAGGTAGGTGTCTTAACTGACCATCACCATGATCCATGCAAAAGCCAGACACAAATACCATTTA